GAGAGAGGGAGGGGGAAGAGGTGGGAAAGGAAGGGAACTATCAGGAGAAATCGCCAAGTCATTATGACTATATAGCACTGGGAAGGTATCAGGATAAGGATTTGGGACGGGGGGGGAGAAGGAATGGTATCCAACCACTTGAACCGTCGGGGATTGAACGCCGACCTGCATGAAGCGAGACCGTCGCTCTACCGTGCAGCCCAAGTGGTTGGATGATAGGGAAATTGGGGTGAATGGGAGGGTGAGGGTTGAAAATGGGGATGGGAGAAGAGGGGAGACAGGAGAGGGTGAGAGAGGGGAAGTAGAAGGGGATGCTGGGAGGAGGTGGGGGGTGGAGGGAGTCCTGGGCATGTACTGTGTACATATAAACAGTCTTCTTGTCTTTATTTTCCCTCTCCTTCCTTGTGAGCCTCTCTTCCTCCATCTCTCCTCCATCCATCTCAGATATACCCCACTTCCCTGTCCCTTCACTTACTCAGTTATTATATTTCCCCTTCCATGGCACTCTCTCGCTACCGGCCTCCTCTTTCATATGTCAATCTCTCTCTCTCTCTCTCTCTCTCCGTCTCTCGCTCTCTCCGTCTCTCGCTCTCTCCGTCTCTCTCTCTCTCCGTCTCTCTCTCCCTCCGTCTCTCTCTCCCTCCGTCTCTCTCTCCCTCCGTCTCTCTCTCCCTCCTCCTACCTTCTCCACCTTCATGCCTTTGTTAACCACTTCCTCTATACCTTTCTCAAGTTATTTAAGCATTTCCTGGCCAACTCTTCAGTGTCGGGGAGTTTGTGGTACAGGTTCTATATTGTGTTTGTTTACCACCCAAATAATGGCGGTGCAGACGAACATAATTCATCGTCTTTTCGTAAATTCTCGCTGTGGATGAAGAACAACACAGCAATCAAAGATTTAGTTTGCCAAACAAGAAATGAAGTTTGGATTAAACAGAAGCTTAACTAACCCCCCCCCCCTCCTCCCTTCCCCACATACACCCCCACACACACAAACAAACACCCCCTCTAAAAAAAAGGTGTCAGTAAAATAGGTCATTATATATAGAGTCCACAATGCCGACATTTTATAAAAGGTGTATTGTCGGGTAGGAGCGGAGAGGGTGGAAGAGGAGCCTCGTCCGCCCTGCTGGAAACAGCGGAAGGTAATACGCTTCTCAAATGTATATTTATGAGACTAATATCTCTGCTCAGTGAATGAGAATAAAAGCTATAACGTAAAGATGGGAATTGGAGACGGCTTTGTGGGATGAGCGGTGGAGGGGCCGATTGTGTGGGGAGGGGGCGGGTCGTAGGAGTGGGTGGTATGGTGGTTGTGGTGGTGGTAGAGGTGATGCTATGGTGGTGGTGATGCTATGGTGGTGGTGGTGGTGATGCTCTGGTGGTGGTGATGCTATGGTGGTGGTGATGCTATGGTGGTGGTGATGCTATGGTGGTGGTGATGCTATGGTGGTGGTGATGGTAGTAGTAGTGTTGATAGTGGTGGTGGTGGTGGTGGTAATGGTGGTAGTGATGGTTGTGGTAGAGGTGATGGTGGTGATGATGGAAGTGGTGGTAGTAGCGGTGGTGGTGGTGGTATCAGTGGTGGTGACAGTGGAGGTACCTGAAGTGTACCTGGATAGCGTTCTGGGAGTTCTACTTCCCAAAGCTCGTGAGAGCTTGGTCCAACAGGCTGTTGCTTGGAGCGGCCCGCAGGCCACATACCCATCACAGCCCGGTTGGTCCGGCACTCCTTTGAGAAAACTATCCAGTTTTCTCTTGATGTCCACGGTTGTTCCGGCAATATTTCTTATGCTCGCTGGGAGGGTGTTGAACAACCGCGGACCTCTGATGTTTATACAGTGTTCTCTGATTGTGCCTATGGCACCTCTGCTCTTCACTGGTTTTATTCTGCTTTGCTTCATATCGTTCACTCCAGTATGTTATTTTACAACATGAGGTGATAAGTCACAACATGAGGAGGTAAATCATACTTAAACGGTCTTGTTTAGGTCACAAGAATCTACTTTTCATATCAGCGGTGAACTAGCTTTGCCTATCCTCCGCACTGATATAATGAAAGTCTTCAACATTGCATGGGCAGCACTTCTTTAAGCAAATATCAATATTACATTCCACCAAAACATAGGTTTATTAAAATCAGAAGCGCAATTTAAAAATGAAATTAGCAAGAAATTAAATGGTTTCTGCCAGAGATCCATTAAGTAGATTTTTGCCAGACCGGTTTCGGAGAGGCCGAGAGACGTAAGCGACAGCAGGGGATTGTATCCGGCTAAATAATTTACGGCCGGATCGTAACGTTCCGTATTCGAAGAAAAATAGTAAAGCAGGGAATTAGCGAGATTTATTTCGATTTACAAGCACTTAGATTTAATTAAATTAAAAAATTGCAGTGATTTCATTAAGTTATTTAGTGTTAACATTTTGTGCAATATTTTCTACAGCAATTATTACACTAGAGAAATCTTGCATAATATTGGCTACACTATTTACATCTTCACTATTTATACTCTAGTACTTTATAATACAAATTAACAACCATAATTATTACTATAATTATTAAGTTTTTGAAGACGTATCTTGTGTTAGTTACTTTGTTGAAAAACAGAAATCCTTTTTTTTCAGCAATCTTCATCAGAAATGTATTCATTGTCATTTTTTAGATATTTTTCAAGATGTTTGAATTGTTCCAGCGAGTGATTTGGTTGTCAATATGCTGAACAAAAATTCGTATAATTTTTTTTCGCATGAGAGAAGTGTCGAAATTGGTGCGTTGTTGTAAGTGAACATGCACCAAGTAGTCTCAAGTTGCAGCTCTTATTGGATGTGCTTCTCTTGAGGGAGTTATTGAGAAGCTTAAAGTGGGCGATGCATTTGATGACTTCGCACAACACACAGCAACCATCTGTGTTGCAGAGTCTTCATACAACAGTGGTGGACTAATATTTTATGTTATTGTATTGCTACAATATCTTGGGGGATTCGGCACCACAACCGGGCACTTCGGCCCTCTCACATTGTAGTCAAGTTTAACCCTTGACCTCGTATTTATCAAACAAAAATCTCTGGAATTTGGCGGTCTAAGTGTGCTCGTATACTGTTGAGCTCTCGACAGCTGGTAGTTCCACACTAAACAAGTGTATTCTATTTCAAGCCATAAGAAACAACGCATTCAATTGTTGTAATAGTCGAACTTTAATTTGGTTTTCAATATTACGAGATATAGACCCAGGATATACTCACTGAACCACTTGCAAAGGAATTAAATTTAAATAAATATGAACTAGATCAGGAGTTTCCAAATTGGGTTCAGTATAAGCTTTATGGGTATTGGTGAGGCGCGGGAGGAAAGTGTTATACCCTCACTGACTCAATACTTTAGAAACATTATTGTATCAGCAACTGTATCTGAATTAGCGCCAGGAAAACAAAAATAGTTTCATCAAGTACAAACTATGACTTGTTCAGCTTGACTCTAGAATGTCTCTGGATTCAGCTTTCAAAAGAATGACACGAAATTGCATCTCGTGCATTGAAGTGTCTTATTACATTTACAATAACATTTGTGTGTCAGATCATGTTATATACAGAATAAACACTATACATATAGACTGTGGAAACCTATCTACACATGCAATTAACATTCAATGCTCCAGTAATGAGACCCAAGGCATAGACAACCATTGCATTTTTTATTGTTTTTAAATACAGTATTATTTTATTGTCAAATTTTCAATTGTTAAGTTCCCTTAATTAACGGAATTTTACAATAAATTTGAATAATAATTCCATATTATTTGATCCTTATTTTTACTTAATTTATCTGGGGATTTCTAAATAACTATCATCAAGGTGATATACACCTTAGATAAATATTTGAAATGTGTATATATTGTGTATATATTTATTTCGTTTGCATTATATTCTGAAAATTATTCATATTCCAAGAAATGTGAAAATATTCACTCGTTAGGGTTATAAAGAAAGCAGTTGAATATAATTATTCAGTTGTTTAAAAAGTTTGGAATCACTGGTCTAAACAGAAAATATCACAATATATTAAAAACACATTTATTTTTGAAAATCCCGTGATAACATATTAGTGTCAAATGAAGACATTGTAGTAGCGAAGGAAGTTGGAGAAGCAGCCGCAATATTACAAAAATGAGAATTTATCAGAGCAAAAAACACAGTGAATGAAGAATAGAAAACGGGAAGAGGAGAAAGACAATGAAATAGTTGAACATGAAGGAAAAACAAAAAAAAGAGACATAAGAAAGACTAAATACATTACAACACGCCCCGGGGGTGTGCTCACACGCCCCGGGGGGGGGGGGGGGTGCTCACACGCCCCGGGGGGGGGGGTGCTGACAAGCCCCGGGGGGGGGGGGGGTGCCCACAAACCCTGGGTAGCCCTTGTGAAGAAGACATTGCAAAACTGCAGAATGATGATACTCAAGTTTTCGATTGGGAAGTTGAAAATAATGTGATGTTTAATAGCGATAAATTCCAGGTACTTAGTTGTAATTGTGTCTTGTATCCTGTACTATGTATTGTATCCTGTACTATGTTGAAGATCTTCAAGACACAATCAGATCTGCCCATAGTAAGAACATAACACAAGAATAACGGTAACTGCAGAAGGTCTATTGGCCCGTACGAGGCAGCTCCTATTTATACCCACCCAATCCCACGCACATAGTAGATAGTAGAAAATCCCACATAGTAGGAAGGCAACATGCAAAGGGTCTGGGAATGATGATGTCAGCAGTTCTAAAATTTAAAGAGCAAAACCAAGCAAATATAGCGTCAGCCAGGAAAATGATGGGATGGATTATGTGAACGTTCAAATCCGGGAATCCCTTCACAATGCTCATACTATTTAAATCTCTTGTGGTGACCCGCCTTGAGTACTGCTCGATGCTCACTTCCTCTTTCAGAGCAGGAGAGATTGTTGAAATAGAACAAATACAGAGAAGATATACACGGGATGTACTCACAATACATAGTTATGAAGATAGAGGCGTCAGTGATGTTGAGAGCCACCAGTGCCTGGGCGCGGTCGAGGGCGGTCAGTCTGCAGGTGAGGTGGGCGTTGCGGTGCTCCTCCTGCAGGTCACTCAGGGTCAGCTGGTTGATGGCCACGCCCTTCTCTGCTGCCGCCCACGATGAGTCTATCTCCTCCCCGTCCAGCAGCCACGCCAGAGATACCACCTCCGAAGACCCTGCCAGGGATGACCAGTGTTATTACTGTGTGTGTACCTGTATACAACGGCAATAGAAGATTAGAGCTCGGTGAAGCACTACATCATAAACACTCGTCTATCAACAGCCAGCTGTTGATACAGCTGATCTCAGATACATCCTATCGTCACGACCACGTCTCAACCACCAGCCCACACCTCGCCTCCCGCCTCAACCAACAACTGGGGTAGCATCTCCCTTCACCTCATCAAATCTGGTGATATATACTGTAGTTTCAATTTGTATCCAACAGCACCGCTCCTGTGCCAGGTAAGTGCACTACGGGCTCACCATAGCCAGTGCTACTTACAACGTTTTGTTCCGCGTTGCTGAATCTACAACAACAATATTTTATCCATATTTTCTCAGCCTCCGAAGATGTTGAGAGCTTCAACGAAACGGATCATTTAGTCACGTAAATAAAATTGTAAAATGAACTTGAATTATTTATTTAATTTCCTCTGTATATGATAATGAATGTAACAAAAATATAAGATTCGTACTTGAATCATTGTTCCTTTTATGGGAATTTGATTCGGATGGTGAACCCCGCGCGGTCAGAGGAGAAATGACCGCGCCTTCTCGGGTATCCCTTCTAAAGAGTACATGTACACGTGATTCACCTTTGATGTCCAAAGGGTTTGGAAAGGATGGATGGGGGGGGATAGAGGGATGGGGAAGTGAAATTTTGGAAGAGGATGTGGGGTAGAGAGAGAGAGAGGAGGATTGAAAGGTCGGTGGCCTGTCCACCATGAGGTTGGCGTATGTGTGTGTCGTTTGTTTAGGTGTGTGGTATGTTGGGTTGTCAGTACATTGGTTGGGTGGCCAGTGTTTGTGTCCCAGCTGGTGTCTGGAGACCCTAGAGCCGCTAGAGATGGTTGCAGGAGATTAATCTTACCAACATCACGGCGGGTACTCTTCTGGTAACACAAAAGGGGTTTTTGTTATTATTATTGTTTTTATTTATTTATTTATGTTTTTTAAGTACAAATCAGGTCCGGGATGGTCCGTTTATGTGGGTCGTCTGGCAGGCCACTTTGTATTAGTGTTCTCGGGAAGGTCTGGTCATGGATGGGTCTGATCAATTGTTCCCGTGGTCACTGGTGGTGGTAACTGCTTGGTGGGCTTCTTCGGGGTCTGGGACATGTGCTTCATGCGGTACAGCTGCCGTCTGGCCAGGTAGCTGAGCCTGGTGCTCATTGGCATCATGCTGAGTCTCTCGTGGATCTGGTCTGTTCTTGCCCTGTCCACCAGCGACGGGGCCGCCGCGAAGCGAAGTGTTTTGTTTTGGACCCGTTGGTTCTTCAGCATGTTGGCGAGGTTCAGCGGCACGTAAGGGTACTCCAGGCTGGGCCTTATATTTATTCCGTATAGGTGGAGCTTCATGTGGGATGGGGCTGGCCTGAAGCGGAATAGCCTCGACAGGGAACAATTAGACATAGCTGCCTTGTGTACTAAGTGTAAATATTATATTATATATATATATATATATTATATATATATATATATATATATATATATATATATATATATATATATATATATATGCCCAAAACATGCCACCCCGTGGCCAAGAATGTAGGTCTCCATCTCTATGGTTTGCTCAGGGAGATAAACAGCTGCAGATATATTCACTAAATTATGAATTCACAGGGTAAACAATTCTTAGTGAGAGTGTGAGTGAGAGAGGAGCTCGGAGGCGCTATCACCCTCACCCACACCCGCCCAGGAAATAATAACAGTTCACAGTCTTAGCTGAGCTCTCGGAGACCACCAGACCAGGAGGAGGAGTTGGAGGTGAAGGGGGGGGGGGGTGGAGGAGGAGGAGGAAAGGAGGAAAAGAATGAGAGGGAAGGAGGAAAAAGTGATGGCCAGGAGGAGGAGGGAAAGAAAGCTAAAATAAGAAACCTGTTTCACATACTAATTTCTTCTCGTGGCCACCCCCTCTCCCCCCCCGCCCCCCCTCACCCATCCCGCTCCCAGGGTAAAACACACTAATAAAGTACCGTCAGCACCATATACGAAGCTCCCAAGTTTCCAGGAATGTTCACAAACGTTGAGTAAGACGTTCTTCAGAGCTCTGACTACAGCCTGCACAACTCCACCCCGGAGCATGCAGGTTGATCACACATCACCTCCCTCACACACAGACCTATATAGTAGAGACCTATATAGCTATATAGACCTATATAGACCAGGTCTAACTATAGACCTGTATCACTGACAAGCATCCCCTGTAAAATACTGGAAATAATTAGGCTACGACTGGTTGCACACCTGGAGAACGTTAGGTTGTGAACAAACATCAACATGGGTTCTGGAAAGGGAAATCGTGCCTAACAAATCTTCCGGAATTCTATGATAAAATAACGAGGATAAGACAGGACAGAGATGGTTGGGCAGACTGCATATTTCTGGACTGCCAAAAGCCTTTGATACAGTACCGCACATGAGACTGCTGTTCAAACTCGAGAGGCAGGCGGGGGTGGGAGGAAAGGCCCTAGCATGGATAAGGAACTACCTAACAGGAAGGAGCCAAAGAGTTACGGTAAGGGGCGAGAAGTCGGACTGGCGCACAGTAACTAGTGGAGTACCTCAAGGATCGGTGCTGGTCCAATTCTATTTATAATATATGTTAACGACATGTTTACAGGAGTAGTCCTACATGTTGATGTTCGCGGATGACGCAAAGTTGATGAGAAGAGTTGACAGATAAAGATTGCAGGATCCTCCAAGAGGACCTGAACAGATTGCAGAGATGGTCAGAGAAATGACTACTGGAGTTCAACACGAGCAAATGTAAAGTTATGGAAATGGGACTAGGAGATAGGAGACCAAAGGGACAGTACACAATGAAGGGGAACTGCCCACCTGTGACGACGCGAGAGAGAGACCTGGGCGTGGACGTAACACCTAATCTATCTCCTGAAGTACATATAAATAGGATAACGACAGCAGCGTACTCTACACTGGTAAAAGTTAGATCATTAAGAAACCTAAGTAAGGAGGCATTTAGGTCGCTTTACACTGCCTACGTGAGGCCAGTCTTAGAGTATGCCGCCTCATCATGGAGCCCCCATCTGAAGAAACATTTAAAGAAACTGGAAAAGGTTCAGAAGTTTGCAACGAGACTCGTCCCAGAGCTACGAGGGATGGGGTATGAGGAGCGCCTGAGAGAACTGTGCCTTACGACACTAGAAAGAAGAAGGGAGAGGGGTGACATGATAGGAACGTATAAAATACTCAGGGGGATGGACAGAGTGGACAGAGACGAAATGTTCACACGGAATAGCAACAGAACGAGGGGACATGGGTGTAAGCTGGAAACTCAGATGAGTCACAGGGATGTTAGGAAGTTTTCTTTTAGTGAGAGTAGTGGGAAAATGGAATGCACTTAAGGAACAGGTTGTGGAAGCAAATAGTATTCATAATTTTAAAACTCGATATGATAGGGAAATAGGACCATAGTCATTGCTGTAAACAACCGATGCTCGAAAGGCGGGATCCAAGTGTCAATGCTCGATCCTGCAGACGAGTACACACAAACTAGGCAAAAAGATATGGAACAAAGCTTGTTCCAGGACATGGCAGGAAACAGCCGAGAGATCTCAAACTCAGCATCAGGAGGAAGAAGCAGTGGGGATGTAACAACGTACAAGCCAAGGTAATTAACAAGAGAACGCCCCAGGGAAGTATGACTATCATACTGTGTAGGAATACGAGGGTTGAGTGAAGGAATGACGCCAAACCACTTACGCCATCGGGTTTCGAACTTAGATTGACAATAAGAAGGGAAAGCGTCGCTTGACCAAGATATCGAGCACGGTAAATAATTTCCAAACAGTAAAGGGAGTTAATAGTCGTCAAAGGCGCTATGTTCACGCGGATATATCCACGAGGAACAGCAGCACAAGTTTATATCCACGAGGATAATCAGCAGCTCACCGGGTATGTTCGTGCAGAGGAACACTACCACGCTAAGCCATGCTGGAAAAAAGTAAGAGATGGGAAGCAAGAAATCCAATTGAGCCAGTGAGGTATGAGGAGTAACCGCTCCAGCCCCAAACTCCTGACCAAATGGACTGGGTCAGGAGGAGACATTATGAGGATCTCTTCCATAAACAAGTCAATACGACATAAGTCACGGACATTTTCTTGATTGACAAGCAGCTGTAAGGAACGGGACCATGTAAGGACGTTCAGATGAGTATAGACGAGTCCAGCCTCTGCTCACTCACCAACGTGGGTGAGTAACAAAGCTGGTCCCAGGACGACGTGGGGTGGTATACCAGGAATGGCCCAAAGAAATAGATCTGAATATAATGACGCTAAAACGAGGAGAGGAGACATAACAGACATATACAATACTTCGGGAATTGATAGAATGGAAAAATGAGGCAATATTTACAGTGAATACCACAGCAGCCAGAGAATACCCCAGATGTACCAAGAGCCACAGACGAGACAAGAGCCACAGGCGAGACAGAGTTGTGAGGAAATATGACTAAGGAATGAGTGACAACGTTGGAGTGACCTAGACGAGGAGTTACAGGTCCATCCAGAGTAACATAAGTAGTTATGACGGAGACAAATCACTGAACAACCAACAGCTGGTGAAGCAGCTGCTCAGGAACTTTATCGCGATCTTGCAAGCACAATTAGGCGAGTACATGTACACAATAAAATACAAAATATATTGTACTGTATACTAAAAAGGGTTTACCCGGTGGTGCTCGGGTCTGTTGGTCTGTGTCTCCCCCCCCCCCTCCCTATATCTTGGCTGGACGGTAGAATGACGGTCTTGCTTCGTGCAGGTCGGCGTTCAATTCCCGATCGTATTAGTGGTTGGGCACTATTCCCTTTACCCCCGTTCCATCCCAAATCCTTATACTGACCCATTCCAAGTGCTATATATACGTAATGGCTTTGCACTTTCCTTTGATAATTCCCTCCCTGCTGATTTAATGTCAATAATAGCCGC